CTTGCACCAACTCCCGGCTCCTAGCCCTCCAGGATTGTATGCAACACTTATACCCGGCTCTTGATTTCGTCTATCTCTTGTGGATTTGAGAGAACTCCCCGTTCTCTAATGATCGAAATCTCGATCTCCTTCCTTGATCTTCAAGAATCCACAACAAACTCTGGAAGGTTATGTTACAATGTTTGATGAAGGTGGTTTTTGATGTTTTCACATGATTGCGCTAATGATCAAAATGTGGGATTGAAAGTAGGATTCAAGATGTAAAGAATTTTCTTCATGTTCAATCCTTAAGAAAGAAAAAACTGAAAAACGACGCAATCCAACTTATATGAGAGGTTTTGGGTCATATGGGTCGGGTCAAAATCTTTAAAAAAAGGAAAATAAGGTTCTGTAGATAATACTGTCGCTCAAGCGAAAATCGAGTGATGCTGTTTCGCTCGAGCGAAGTAGAGGTGATAAGCGTGCGAAAGACTTTCTATTTTTTACGCTCAAGCAACCACTTGGCGAGTAGCTAGCGAAACTTCGACAACACATATTGTCCTACTTCACTACTCGAACCCTAACATTCTTTGACAAAATTGCAACTTAGCCCCCCAATTTTTACACATGTACAAATTGGCCCCTAACCTTTAAATATTGACAAATTGACCACAAACTTTGCAACAATTACAATTTGACCCTTTTGTTCACAGAATTGCCAACACAAAAACTAACATCATTTTTTGCAGTAAAAAAGAAATACACAAAAAACATGAAGAAGAAAAATTCATCATAAAAAGTAAGTCAAACTTTATACAATAAGGTCGTAAAAAAAATCAGAAAGTCTTAACTTCATCAATATCACTCGCCATTGATCGCTTGTAGGAAGCTATCTTCGAGGGTCTTCCTTTTTCTAATCAATGGATGCTACACTAGTAACATCTCTACTTTGTGATTCCTTTAATGTTGCATTCGCAGTTCCAATCATACTCTTTTGTTCCTAATGGGCTTGAAGTTCGTCACGAGTCTGTCCAAATCAAAAGGTAGCTGACTAATTTTACCTTCCAATGTAGAATATGTGGAATCATCTGCTTCCAGTTGAATGTTCAAAAATTTCAACTGCTCAACCTTTTCTTCTACAGTTGGACACTCCGAGTATTGCTTTCTTTCAGATAATTAAAAGTCAACTTCTTTAAAAAATACATCCATGCGTTTCATCAAAGGTGCTGGATCTATATGGAATGAGCTGGTAATCACATTTTAAAGAATTAAATTATTTTCATTCCACCAAGATCGGATGTTGAAAAACATTTGCTTCAAGACGTCCTTAAAATACTTTTAAAGATAATTAGTTATAGCTTCCTATAGAGCAGTCTTCAACTAAGGAGACTCTGGGATAATTCCAAACGAAGAACCAGACATGAAAGAGCAAATTGTCGTAACCCAATGATTGTTTGTCTTTGAAGACGAAATGTTGACTAAAACCAACGAAGATGGAATAATTGAGACTTCTTATTTGATCTCTGAAATGTTTGCTCTAACAGTCTCTGAATTCACTTCATCTTCATTGTTAAAGTACCTCCATTGATGGTGCTCAGATATTGGCAAGAAAGGTCGTGAAAATCATGAATATCATCTATTTCTTGAAGTGCATCGATTCGCCCATCATTCTCGCCAGTTTGATCTTGATAAAAGTTCGAATTTATGGAAAAATTTAGTTTTTTAGGGACTCTCGAAAAACCTACCAAAATGAAGTACGATCTCAAAAAAAAAGAGGCAAATGAAAACAAGGAACATACCTGCATTTTGTGTTTTAGGCGATATATCTAAAAATCAACCGTCTGATGGTGTGTTCGAGAGAATGATGTGAATGTTAGAAGCTCCAACTTCACCTTTTGAAGGACTCGGAATGGGTTGAAGCGGTCTTAGTTCTACCGATCATTTGATTTTATATATTCGAGAAAAAGGAACGTGAAATTGAAGATTATAGCATGAAATTAAATATAGGTAGTACATTAAAAAAAGGAACTGTACCTGATCTCTAGAACTTTTATCTTCTAGATTTAGAGTTTTTTGGCACTTGGGATGCTCGATCTCCAGGACTACTGTGATTTGGAATCAAAATTGCTTCTGACACCTTATCAACAGGCTCAGAGGTGAAAGCAAACTTTGTTGAGGGAACTATAATTTTAATTCTCTTAATACCTCTTTTATTTTGATGGTTTGGTTTCCTATTTCGAGAAGTCTCTTCAGGAATAATATTTCGAGGGTTTAACCCTTTAGCTACGATTCTGTTCGGAGTTGGGCTAAGAACAAAGTCACAGCTCTCACTAAAAGATAAAACCTACACTTGAACCTTAGTCAAGATTGGCAACACTAGGATATTCTACCAAGCTTGGTACTCGACATCAACATTTTGATGTGTATCCCTCAACTACTCTGGAATATAAAATATAGACCAACTTATCGTCCGAGTCAAAGACAACCAAACACAATACATGTCACCTCCATTGGGGGCAATGTCCAACTTTCTTGGTGAACCGAGAAGTTTCTGTTTAAAGCCAATTATCTCGCAAACCTGTGAAGATTATACTCCTGGAGAGTAAAAGGAAATTTTCCTCGATGATAAGAAATAAATCCAGATCGAATACTTGTCATAAATTCTGAAGCATCCACAGATCTCAATTGGTCATTCACGCGTACATCAGGATGAGACAATAAGGGAAATCGATTCCAGCAAAAGTCATTGATATCCATCATTCCGTGGATAAGGTTCCAACAATCAACAACATTTTTCTCCCAAGACTAGAAAGCAATAAAAGTGCCAGTATATTTTCAAATTATTGGACAAGAGTTATTCTTGTCCACATGAGCATAAACACTTAGGACAAAATAAGTTGCAGTCCAAGCATAGAGAAAATGTCCCGGAAAAGAATGTGAAATCGAGCTAAGGTCCGGGTTTGATTGATGGTTAGATATTTGTGTAAGTTCTTTATAAATGCTCGCTAATATGGATGGACCTAGGCGATAAGTATATCCGTCAACCATCCTAGAAGATGCTTTAAAAGTCACAACTCTTATACATTCGTCCCTAGATGAAAGAAAGAAACTACAAAGCCACAAGGAAAGATAAGCCACTATCTCTAATTTTTCTTCTTCTTCCATAGACAGAGATACTGGCAAATTGCTCCAATGACGCTGATCCCTATGAGAAATATCTTCTTCCCTTATCTACCACTACGGGCTTCCGTATTTCTTTCGATACTCTTTGATGACGCCCCTTGAATGAATTTAAATTCATGGCATTCTTATAATTTTATGTTGTCGGGGATTCTAGGCAAAACCATTCTCTTGTAACCAAAAATTAATATATTTTTCATGTGTAATGCAATCACATCTATTTGTATTGGCGGTCAATGCTAAAATATTAAAGAGGTACAGACAAGACTTAGGAAGGTAATCTGTCGACTCTGAAAGGCTTGTGACTATTTTTTCATAGTAATGACTCACGATCGGAAGTCTACTTATCTCGTGGATGTTCCAAAAAAAAATGCCAATTTCATCATGGAGGTCACAAATGTGTAGGTCTTTGGACACCAAACCTCATAAAGAACTCTTTAGATAGAGTTTGGATGATGATAATCTTTTGTAGTAGAACCGACTGCAAAAGCTAACTCGCGAATATTCCTCTTGAGCAGATGTTTTTGGATCCATAAAGACCACTCCCAAAATTTTGAAAGAAAAGAAATCTCTCCACGAGTTACAAATGTTCTTCCCCATTGTATTTCTTTATTATCAATCCTCTCACAAATTACGCCCTTTGGGATGCGCTTAATGCTCCGGGAATGATAAGGCAGAAGACACAGAAAGGGAAGATGACTACTAGAGATGTTGGACTTGCCAGTATCTAAACTCTTGTGATATTCACTAATGGTGGGCACATGAAACTCCAATATGACTCCAGCAGGTTAGGAGAAAGATCTATCATTGGCTTATGGATGCTAAATTTAAGTTCGCTTTGTAGGCCAAGCAGGGCATGGTACTCACATCAATATCTTTGAAACGAAGGTAACTTTTACCTTGAATTTTAAGCTCAACAATTTCGTGTATATTAGAGTATACTCTATCATTAGAGCTCGTTCTAGTCATTCCTACAAAAAAGAAAAAAATAGCAAAAAAAAAAAAGATTATTAAAAGTGCAGTAAATCTGTTAAAATTATTTATGTCCAAGATCATTAGGCTACCAAATATGTAAATGCCCTCTAGACAAAGTGCCTTGGAGGGTGGAAGGAATAGGTCATTGGTCCCAATTACAAAGTGCCTTGAACGATTGAAGGAGTCAGTCCTTGGTCCTCAATACAAAATGCCTTGGACTGTCAAAGGAGTCCGTCATTGGTCCTCAACATAAAGTGTCTTAGAAGGTCGAAGGAGCCAGTCTTTGGTCCTCAACATAAAGTGCCTTGGACGGTTGAAGGAATAGATCATTGACCCTCGACACAAAAAGCCTTGAACGGTCGAAGGAACAGGTCCTTGATCCGTAACACAAAGTGTCTTAAACGGTCGAAGGAGACGGTCTTTGGTTCTCAACACAATGTGCCTTGGACGGTCGAAAGAGTTGATCATTGTCCTCTACGCAAAGTGTCTTAAACGGTTGAAGGAGTTGATCCTTGGTTCTCAATACAAAGTATCTTGGACGTTTGAAGGAACCAGTCCTTAATCCTCAGCACAAAATGCCTCGGAAGGTGAAGGGTGACAGTCCTTAATTCTCAACATGCTCAAAAAAAGGAGGAAGTTTGAAATTTTGAATTTGTTCATAGCCAAACATTTTCTCAACTCCTAAAATAATTGCAACACGAAAATTTAATCTCCACACGAAGAAAATTTAACAATCTGTCTTCTTTATCCCTGGCGAGTGAGGAAGAGATTATCACTGGATATGCAGAATTTTCCCTCAAGAATGCATACCAAAGGTGATCAGGTAGCTGCTTCAATTCGGTCTTAGTGCTTTCATTGCCTTTATTCTAGTTAGGTTCCATTGTCTGTTGAATATCTTCATTCTTTGATGGAACATTTCCATTTGGCAAAGATTCAAGAGCTGATATGTAATCAACAAGGACTTTGTAGCCCGTATACTCTCCTGAGGCGGTAACATCATCCCGTGTTGCACTCATCATCATACAATGCTCCAGGTGGTCTTCAATGAGTACATCTTCTTCTTTTACTACAGCATCAATAAAGTCTATTTTGTGGCATGTGTTTGTATCATTTGGAAATTGCATTGCTTGGTAGATATTGAACCTCATCTCTTCTTCATTTACTGTTAAGGTTAACTGACCTCCTTGGACATCGATAAAAACTTTCCCAGTTGCTAGGAAAGGTCTATCTAGGATCAATGAAATTTCTTGATCTTCTTCCATGTCCAACACTACAAAATCTATTGGGAAAATAAATTTGTCGACTTTCACCAACACATCTTCAATAATTCCTCGTGGGTAAGTGAGGGATCGATAAGCTAACTACAAAGTCACCATTGTTGGGTTAACTTCCCTGATACCCAACTTCTTGAATACTGAGAGTGGCATCAGATTTATGCTGGCTCCAAGGGCACAAAGAGCTTTATTGAAAGAGGAGTCTCCAATAGTGCATGGAATGGTGAAGCTATCTGGATCCTTCCTTTGAAGAATTTCACTAATTCTTCTGTCGACTTCGTCGTTTCATATTCCTCCAATTTCCTCTTTTTTGACATCACCTCCTTCATAAACTTTGCATAGTTTGGCATTTGTTCTAGAGCATCAGCAAATGGAATGTTAATATGAATCTTCTTGAAACTACCCAAGAATTTGGAAAAACTGCGCATACAATTTCTTCTTTTGAAATCTTTGTGGAAATGGGAGTGTGGGTTTGATGATTGGTGGGTTATTAGGGAAGGATATAGAGTAAGGCTTGTAATCCTTCCGTGCTTCTTTGATTTATTTTCTAGTGTTGCATTTGGCTGTTCTTCTTCCTTGTCATGGGTGACAATAGTTTCTTCTGTAGGTATATTTTCCCCAACTTCCTTGCCACTTCTCAATATGATGGCCTTGCAATGTTCCTTCGGATTTATCTCCGTGTCACTTGGAAACTTTCTCTGTTGTTAGGATTTCACTGATGTCGCCAACTGCCCTATCTGAACCTCGAGATTTTTCATTGTAGCTCTCATGTTGGTCACGTGCTGATATGAGTGTAAAATAAAATATTTTCCAATCTTAATTATTGCATTGTTGTGATTATTTGATACGAAAATGCACTCATTATATTTATGATTTGATTCAGGTTGTATTTTGGTAGAAAAATGTGAAATTTAGAAGAAAAGAGCGGAAAATGACCAAAATAAAAGAAAGCGAAAGTTTAGGGACCAAGTTGTAAATAATCTAAAGATGAGACGAGTGATAGAATGATGATTCGAGAAAGCTAGGAGTCCATTGGGTGCAATTAGAAGTCAAAAGAAGTTAAATATGACCATAACATATTCAGAAATCAAATTCCAACCGCATAAAGATTTTTCAAATTTTCAGCTAGAGATTGAAGTCCACTTTTGACCCAATAAATATCAGAATTTGGAAAAAGCTATTTCTATAAAAATTATAGTACTTTATGTTATATTTTCAACAAACTATGAATTACCTTAATTGGACACCGAAAGAGAAAGTTATAGTCAAAATACTGAAAGTAGTCACACAGAATATTTTAGTCGAAAATTTAGTTTCCTTATTCGGTTCAACTTCTTTTGGAAACAACTTGGCACACAGTTTTATGCCCTAGACTTGACAGAAAATGCCTCTTCTTTACCTCCATAACAATTTTCTCTCATCTTGGACTAAAGAATTCGATGGAGAACTAAATTCTTAGGTGAAGCTACGAAGGAATTCATTAGATTTGGCAACTTCACATCATTTATTCATGCAAATTGGTATTTTTATTGTCAAACACTTCTAGATCTAGACTTTTTTTTATGAATTTTCTTTGAAATTGATTTAACTTTTACTAGATTCTGCATAGATTCAATCATGTATTTTCTATTGTGGAATTGAACTAATTGTTGAATTTCAATTTCAATCAACTTTATTAGTGGATTATTTACTGCCTTATGCATTGTGTATATGGTCGATTCTTAATCTTAGTCCAATAAACATGTGTGTGAATGGTTTTCAAAAGTCTAGATCCTAGGATTACGATTGAAATTTGATTGATCTTATTGTTAAATCTTCCGATTAGAGAGTTGGGATAAAAACATCTAATTGAGCAAAAAGCCATGAATTATTAATGTTGATGATCCAATCCAATTAAAGGAATTCGGATACTTCACTAATCTCGCATATTGATAATTAAATTTCATTCCAATTGACAAATTATTTTTTTACATAATTCATGAAATCCCAGTTCGATAAATCTTTTAAACAATTCGTCCATCTCCCCGTGGAATTGACACCCTAAAGCTGTGCTACAACTACTACGTTATTCTTTGGGCGTAATCACATGCGTTTTGATATTATCCAACCTCTACTCATCTTTGTTGAACCATGATCTTGTCTTAGAGATGAAAGTTCCAATAATATTTTCTAAAGATGGCTTCCTTTCAAAATGCTGATTGTTGAACCTCGGTGGAGGTTGAAGTGTATTTCTGTTGTTGCCATATGAACGATTTTCACGTTTTCTCAACTCTGGATGATAGTGACTGGAAGAATAGTGACATATAGTGAGCCTATTCGTTCACCATTGACATTTCTACCGTTGACATATTGAGCCTATTCGTTCACCATTTCTGTCTCTGAATGAACTGAGGAAGTGGCCATAACTGAAACTAATTTTTGGTGATTTCATTGCGTAGTGAGTATAGCTCTCTGATCGGTAAGTGATGACACTTGAGATGCCAATGCTATGGTGGGATCTACTTCATGCATACCTGCTACCTTCTTCGTGCTTGATCTCTCACTTGGCCATTGATAGCAGTTTGTAGTTATGTCATCCAGCAAAGCATATGTTGCTTCTGCTGATTTAGCCATTAGAGTTCCTCCTGCAGCTACATCCACAATAGTTCTAGTCTGCCCATTTAGTTCGTTGCGAAAAATCTCAATCTTCATCCAATTCTGATAACCATGCTGAGGACACCGTCTGAGCAAGTCTTTAAATCTTTCCCAAACTTCATAGAACGGTTCAAAATTAAATTGCCTGAATTGACCAATTTCACTTCTAAGTTGAGCCGACTTGGAAGGAGGAAAATACTTGGTGAGGAATTTCTGATCTAGATCCTCCCAAGTAGTGATGGAGCCATATGGTAGTGATTGGAACCATGATTTAGCCTTATCTCTCAGGGAGAAAGAAAATAAATGCAACCTAATAGCATATTCTGTCACTCCATTCATTTTTATCGTATCACAAATCTCCAAAAATGAGCCGAGATGAGCATTTGGATCTGCTGTAGAACTTTTCCCAAACTGGTTCTGTTGAACCATATGTATGAGTCATGACTTCAATTCAAAATTGTTTGTTGCAATGGCGGGGCGTGCAATACCAGAGTAGTTATCATTAACGACCGGTCTCACATAGTCCTGAATAGGCTGTGGTTGATTGTTTTCTTGAGTTGTTCTTGCATCCTGTTCTACCATTGTTTCACGTTCGTCCCTATGTAAATCCCTTAGAAGACGAAATGTGCGTTCTAGTTCAGGATCAATAGGTAATATATCAGGATTTCTCGCCTTCGCATCAACAACTGAAATTGAAAATAAGGGGATTGTTGGAAGTAGAGATAAAATTAACAAAGTAACAACGAAATCCAAATTAAAGCAAAGTTAATTGGTAATAATTTTAATAGAAATCAATCAAAATAATCCCCAGCAATGGCGCCAAAAACTTGCCATGCATTTTATGCAATGTGCTTTAACCGTTAGTGTATGATGTCAAGTTTTGTAATATAGTGATAAGATTGAAGTGTCGAATCCATAGGGGTTGATGTTTGATTTCTATCGAATACTATAATTGTTTTAACTTCTACTTTATTCAAAAAACAAATTTTTGACTTGATGTGTTCTTGCTAAATTAATATGTTGTGAATTAAATGGCAATTCAAACAATTCAAGATGAAATATATAAAAATAATCGATGCAAGGAAGTCTAGAAATAATTTCACCGCCCTATCAACAATGTTCAATCTCTATGGTTATTTCTCTAAATTTTTCTCAATTTATAGGCAAGAACCGTAAATTAATCTCATTCCCTCTGTCGAATGCTGAATAGAATTTATTTTATACTCTAACCCCAATATCTCTATTCCGGATTAGATCTATAAAAATTATTAAGTCCTTGGCTCTTAATTTGAATTAAACCTCAAAGAATTCGTACTTTCTCTTGAAATCTACGAAATCTAAGTTAGGTTATTCGTAGATCAAGATTAAATCTCCCTCTCTTGAGTGTTGGAATTCAAAACATCAATTCATTCAACCATTGATCAAGTGATTGAAAGCAATAAGCATGAATAACATGAATAAATACCAAAAAATTAAAGAAATACCATATCAACATCCAAACATTGTATCAATTAGGTTACATCAACCCTAGATCTAAGATTTTAGTTCATAAAATGATATTCTAAAATATAGATAAACGAGCATGCAGAAGAAGAGATTAGGAAAAACTCAGTTGATGCTTCGAATCTCCTTCCAATGATTATAGATCTTCCTCTTTGAAATGCTTTTTTGATAGTTTTGGCCTTGAGTTGTCTTCTCAAAATGCCAGAAAAATCTCACTTCTTGGTCTTTTTTGTGTATTTATATTTCCCTAAAGTCACAAGATGAGAAGGATTGAATCTGGGCTAAGAAAAATTCAACTTTCCTTTTTTTGTGTTGGGCACCATGACGTTCTTCTTGTTGGCACCGCGGCGCCGGGCTTGCTGAAATTTCTTTCTTTATGTTAGGAGCCGCAGTGCCCATGATCTGGCCGCGGCGTCCATGAAGCTGCTCCTTCTTGCTTTATTCAATTTCCACGCTTCGTTACCATTTTTTCTTCGATTTTCTTCACTTCATACTCAAATTTTATGATCATCATTACGGTTCCATCACGCTCCAAAATGTGGCATTTTCTCAAAAGTTGTCTAAACTGCAAAACAACATGAAAATCGTATCAAAACATTCAAAAGTGCTAAACTACAACCCGAAAACTAATATTTAAAGGTGCTAAATTGATGAGTGAATTGCACTCATCACACATGTATCATCGAGGTTGATTTTACTTCAAAAAAGTTGAAATTGGCACAAGTTGAATTGCATGATGACCTGACCAATCTTCAATTAAAGTGTGAAGTTTCAAGGTTGATGAAAGAAGCCATAATGCTATGTAAAGCGGAAAGGAGTTTCTATTACCAACAAGCAAAGTGTGTGCACTTAAGGAATAATGATAAGTGTACTAAGTACTTCCATTCTTTGGTCAAGAGAAATGCTAATAGGAACTCTATTTCAGTTGAAATCAAGAGGGATGGTAATTATTCTACTTCTCAAGAAGAGGTTGCGATGGAATTCATCCACTTTTATAGTGATTTGTTGGGACAAAGCTGTTTTGGGTAGCCTTTTGCCCTTTTAATGCTGAAATTTTAAGGAGAGGACCTATTTTATCGAAGGAAAATGCTACGTCGCTAGCTCAGGACATCAGAAGACAAGAGAACAAAGATACCCTATTTAGTATTGGAGATGACAAGTCATCGGGCTCAGGTGGATATACCCCTTGTTTCTTTAAAAAGTTATGGGATATCGTTGGCAATGACTTTATGGAGGCAATTGAAGAATTCTTTGCATTGATGGCTCTCCTCAAGCAAACCAACAACACGATCATTACATTGGTACCGAAGACAAATCATTCTACTTCGGTAGGAGGCTATAGGCCTATTGCTTGTTGTAATATTTTTTATAAAGTCATTACAAAGATTCTCTTTTCTCAGTTGAAGCCCATGCTTGGTTCAATTATAGACCAAGCACAAGCTGCATTTGTGGAAGGTAGGAGCATGATCGAGAACATTCATGTGGCCTAAGAGCTTTTAAGGCAATATAGTTGGGGGTAGCTCCTAGATGCCTTATTAAAATTGACTTAAGGAATGCTTACGACTCGGTAAATTGGGATTTTCTTAAGAAAGTGCTTGAAGGGTTGGGATTCCCTATTACATTCGCAGATTGGGAAAGAAAGGTCTTCGGCAAGGTGACCCTTCCTCTCCTTATTTATTTATTCTATACCTTGAATACTTCTCTAGAATGGTGAAAGGGGCTACCGAAAATAGTGACTTCAACTTTCATCCTAAATGTGCACCTCTAAGGATTATGCATTTAGCGTTTGCGGATGACTTGATGCTTTTTGTTAGAGGGGATGTGATGTTGGTCAATATCTTGATGAATTGCCTATCAAACTTTGGTGCCATGTCGAGTCTCAATATAAATGTTGGGAAATCTTATTTGTACACCGTGGGAGTTCACGGTAAAGATTGGAAGATATCCGCATTAACAAATCTTTCTAAGGGTACCATGTCGTTTCGCTTGAAAGTAAGTTCATATAATTCCTTCATCAATAAAATTTCTTCTTATATTAGTGCATAGTCGACTTCTTCATTATCATATACGGAGACAGAGTTATTTGTTAGAGCTATTCTACAAGGAGTAGAATGTTTTTGGTTATCCATATCTTCCATCCCAGCAACGGTGTCTTCTAAAATCATTAATATGTGCCAAAGCTTCCTATGGGGATCTAAAAAACCGTTGGTTGCTTTGAATCAAATTTGCTTACCAAAGCATGAAGGTGGGCATGGTTTTAGAAACATTAAAAGTTGGATGTTGCACTACTCTCCAAAATACTTTGGAACATCCATAGCAATAATGATACTCTTTGAATTAAATGGATAAATCAAGTGCATCTTCAAGGTATGGACACTTGGGAAGTATAAGGTGAAAAAAGATGACTCTCCATTGCTCACAACACTGTTGGAAATTAGGGACATCATTATTGGGCCAGAATGTGATGTGCAGGCTGGTGTGCACATGTTACTTTACTGAACGAAAGTTGGCAACCACGACTGCCAACGAGTTTTTCAAGCCAAAAGGTACTAAGGCAGCATGGCCAGCCTCAGTTTGGGATAGTTCTATCACTCCAAAGCATTCTTTCATCCTTTGGTTTAGAGTTTAGGCAAGATTACAAATTATGGACAGATTGCAACACCTACAACTCAATTGAAAACTGCATTTTTTTGTGGACGAATAGAGGAAACAACACAATACTTGTTCTTTTCTTATCCAATTAGCAAGGCAGTTTGGGATTAAATTAGTGGTTGGTTGGTTGATAGGCGCAACATCTCTACTTTGTTGAGTTCATTAAAGTGGATGTAAGAAGAAGCTCGGGAAACGAGTTGGCAAAGTAAAGCAAAACATATTGCTCTTACTTCTACCGTATACTACATTTGGATGGCAAGGAATAGGAGTATCTTTGAAAGGCTTAGGCTACAAGTTGATTATATTGTAAGATGGATTAAAACACACGTATACAAGTTATGTTTGCTTTATATCCGTATGTTTTGATTCGGTTCGAGTATTTAGTAGTGGGCCCTTGGACTATCGTTAGTATATTATTTTATTTTGTTTACCTGGGTGTTCTCTGTGTATATGTACTTGTCATTTGATCTTTGCTTGCCTGGATATGCCTGGTGTACTTGTAAATAAGTTTTGATATATGAAAATTTTACATTTAGCGATGAAAAAATGGATAATGTATTTGATTTATTGACCATACTTACAGTGATAGTTGATCGTGAATAGGTTGCATTCACTGATTAATTGAGTCCAATAGATTCTTACTAAAAAA